GAGAGAGAGAGAGAGAGAGAGAGAGAGAGAGAGAGAGAGAGAGAGAGAGAGTTCTTTTTTTCCTCTTTTTCTAATTACTCTGCATCTCTGTGAGTGGAATTTACTTAAGGTGTTAACAACATAATGGCTTGGTCTTTAGGTTTGTTTGACTTTTACTTATATCCATGTCACACTTTACACCTGTGTTAGTAATGCTGCCATTTCATCAGGAAATGTTTTGCTTTTTTTTTTTTTTTTCTTAACCTGTTTCTCCTCACCACACCCTTCTTAGGAATGGTAATCTAATACATTAACTGATCTAAACCACATTTTTACTTTGTTTTGAGTTGTGAACAAAAAGTTCAAAGTACATATGAACTTTTGTTTTTAACACATGCTTCTCAGATAACCCTGTCACGGCAGAAATGCAGCTCACTAAACTTTTTGTTTATCTCAGTGGAGAATGCTTTCCTTAGAGACAGTTTAAAAAACCTACAGTTAAGAAAGAATGACAGTGTGCTCAAATAGCAACTTTCAGATTTGACAATTTCTGAATGGTTAGTTACATCTGTCAGCACTAATGTATCCTAGTCCAATGTATTGTTTTTGAGATATAAAACTGACTATATGTTTTCTTTTGTAGAGAGACATAAAACTTTTTTGGACAGAACATCCACAACCACTTATTGATATATACAACAATTCCTTGAGTATATTATTCTATCATCAATTTAGTAAAGTTGGACAAATGTCATATTTTCTTTCACTAGTAGCTCAGCATATAGGGAATACCCAAAAGTATGTATCTTAAACGTAATGCCATTTCAGTCATTGTAAGATAACATTTACCTAATATACTCCTTCAGATTTTTAAGAAGATATGTGTATAGGCAAAACTGGCCAATTAGCATTATGCCCAAGGACTGACATATCATTTGATGACTTCATAATTGACCTAGAAACTACAAAAGACACTTGTCAAGTAGGATTTTTTGTTAAACATATTTGTTCTTCAAACATAAGCCAACTGGCATATAATAAATTCCTTATACTCAAATATGATTAAATTATTTCAGATAAGCACAGGATGTACTAAACCTTTAATACATGATGAAAATGCACAAGTGTGTTAAATGAAATATACTCTGAGTTGACATTATATTTCTGCTTCATGAGAATGCAAGAGTGGATTATTCCACCACATACAATTTTGCGTCAGAACAACAAATAAGCCATACATTTACTGGAGCAATCGTCCCTATAGAAATCACAGCAGAAAATGTGACTGAAAGCTTGTTGTAAAGGAATACTTGCTGGTATTGAGCACTGATAATATGAGAATGCAGCCGTCATGGACACTTAATTATCAGGTGCCCTCCAGCCCATAGAAGTCACTCTGATTCTTGCCAAAAATAATATTGAGGTGGGAGGTAATTTCCTGTAACTGGAGCAAACTGGAGCCTAAACTGAAACCTTCACTTGGTTTATAAGTCAATTGTTTAATTATTTTTTTAGTAATAAATCGAGCTAATAGCCCTTCTATTGAAAACCTCTTCTCCTTTTTGTGAATGACCTACTTGTTGTCCAAACAGAAACAAGTCAGTTTTGCTTCCTTTGCCTTTATTTGTATTATTTTTTGCCTTCCTCATGTGTGAGTATATAACAAAAAATAAGTGTAGGTTATAAAGTCATTAACCAAATACCTATCTCTTGTACATCCAAGTAACAGTTTCTTATGTTGATTTTGTTTTTTTGTTATTTCAACTCTCTCCTGAATACAGTTTACATATAATAACAACCATGATCATGGATTTTATTCATACTAAAACAAGCTGACGAAAGAAAGAAAGAAAGAAAGAAAGAAAGAAAGAAAGAAAGAAAGAAAGAAAGAAAGAAAGAAAGAAAGACAGAAAGAAGGATTACTCACATTCTTTACTCTTCATTTCTAATTACACCTCCTTTTGGGCACGATGTCTGACTACATTCTGATATAATATGTTCAGTTTTCACCTTTTGGTGGTTCCATTTTCATGTTTCCTGATCTTTATCACCTAATATGTGGTTGAAAGGGCAATGAGGTTCAACTAGTAATTTAATATTTTTTATTTTTCAATGTAAAGAGGACACAAGGCATCTTGTGACAGGTGTTACAACTTGAAAAATATGTGAAATTGACATGAACATTTTTGGCTGCTTTCACAAAACATTTTTAACTAACACCCTCTTATTCATATGGTCAAGAAAAGTAATTTATCTGAAGTTAAAAATTTTATATCTATATATCAATTTTTGTAAAAAGAAAATATCAATTGTAATGAAAATGATACATCAGGTAGGGCACAAACCTCCTCTGGAGGAAAAAATAAGTTTCAGAGATTGAATATAACTTAAAAATAAGGCAACAATAGGCATTTAAATATTTCAATGTACCTTTGAAACTTATAGTTAGCTCATTGATAATATTTTTGTGCTTTTAGAAAAGGGTTATTTCTTTACCTTTTGGTCAGATAAAATATTATTGCAACATATTATGGTTAGAACAAGGCAAACTTGAACTTGATTTATAATTAAGTGAGGAGAACATACAATGCTTTTGGATCCCATAGATAATATACTGTGCCAATTTGGGATGTCATATGAGTTCTTTAACTGGTGATTTGTACTTAATGTAGTGTCTAACCATCATTTTATATTTGTATTGATTCACAGCAATCCATAATAAATTATCGTTGTTGTTTTTTTAACTCATTCTCCAAGACAAGTTGTCTTTCTAGTCATATTTAAAGTCATAAGTTGGAGGTGTTTGATCGTTTTCTCTGTGTAGATGTTATCCACTGCTGTGGGGTTTCTCCAAGCCTGGTTTGGTGCTTTGAAACATCCCAGATTCTACCAAAGGAACTGGTTTGGGTTGAGCCACTGAGCATGTCTATTTTACACTGCAAAACCTTTCTTTGCAAGTGAGAATTGAGGGTGTGAACAAAGAATATCCCGTAAGCAATCAGAGCAATAAGACTTTCTCAAAGCCATTTATTACTGAAGATTCACAGAAAGTTTTCCATCTATCTAATAAATATGAAAGTCCTTTGGAAATGGAAATATTGTCATATACATGTTTAGGTTATAATTTATCTATGCCCACTTTATTTTCTGAATATTTTTCAAATCAGTGAATTCAAAAACAACACATCCAAGTGATCAAGATAATATTGTTTTTATGTTAATAATACTGTTATGGTAGATTACTTGGAAAAAAATTTACAGTTTTTTTTATTTTGTTTTGCTGATAATTCACTGTAAGTAGGCAGGCAACAACGTGTTTTCTGGATGAAATAACAGGAGGCACTTTCTGTTTAAAGGAAAGGAAACATGATTTTTGTAACTTCAGTTTATTGAAAGGTGGCATGGTTTAATGTAAGAGGTTTGGGATTAAACAGGCCTGGGTTTGAACTTTCACCTTGACTTGCCTAGTCATTAGCTGAGCAACCTTGGGTTTTTTTTAACTGTAAAATAGGGATAACATTTACGTCATGGCGATGTTGACAGAAATAAATGAGATAATTTGAAAGTGTCAAGCCAGCTCCTGATTGCCTGGCAAGCACAAAGCAGTATTCAGTAAATATTAACTTCTCTTTCCCCTCCCTTTTTTTTCTTTTCTTTCTGTTCTTTACCTTCCAATTAGGATTCTTTCATTATTAAACTCTGATGTGGAGTTAATTCAGTTTTAGTTGGAATATGTCAAAACAACAGAATTTGAACCGTAGTAATTATGGCCTGTGTTTGTCTAACTTTCCTCTTCTCCAAACACATTTCTGTTATATCTGAGGCTATGTGGTAGACTTGGTTTTGGGCTGTATGATAGCTTATATCAAGTTAGAACACTTCTCCCATTTGCTATATTAAAATATAAAAAGGAAGGGAAAAATTGGAAAGGAAAATATTAGTCTTTTCTAAATTATAGTAAGATCTAAGATCCCCCTAAAAAAGAATATATTAGAAATTTAATTTCCATAAAATAAGAACTATAAGCAAGATTTCACAATGATCCCTTATCCTAATATGCAAGGTTATGTGAACCATAATATCTTTACATATAAAAAAGCAAACAATGTGATATAGTTGGCATTTGCACTTTATAAGTTTGTTTCTGGAGATGGAGGAAAATAATACAATTTGATGTTTGAATAATATACACTGAATCATATTTTACTCAATTTTTCAAAGATACTGAATCAGCAATGATCATTTAATAAAATACTGTCCTCCAAAAGGATATAGAATTTAAAAAAATAAGTAGCTTTGCATAATTATGCACAGAGTTTTCTTTTTAGCATGGTCTTAACATGACACTTTTTATTTTGTTTGTTTTGTTGTTCTTGCCTCAATTGAATTAAAGTATGCATATGTGGTTTTATTTTGTCACAACACAGATGGAGAATTATACTCTGGGACGGCAGCTGATTTTATGGGGCGAGACTTTGCTATCTTCCGAACTCTTGGGCACCACCACCCAATCAGGACGGAGCAGCATGACTCCAGGTGGCTCAATGGTAGGTGATACGTGTAAGAACACAGGCACGTAACATGTGCAACTGTGGTAAGTAACTGGAGAACTTTCCTTGTACAGTACAAACAATATGACTTGAAATTTAGTATGCAGTTAAGCTCATGGTAGTGACTTCATGACTGTGGGTGTGAGAAAGTTGATCAAAAGAGAAAAGAGAGATTAAGAATTCAGGAAAATATTTGCTTCATGCCAAAATCAAAGTTTCTCAGTAGTTAACTATGGAAAGAAATAGATCTGGGCTGGAGCTACGGAAGGGAGGCAGTGGAAATAGATAAGATGAGTTACCAATCCTGTCTTACAGGAATACCACAGCAAATCTCATGATGTATTATGTCTTTTTTTTTTTTATTCCCCTCTACACCTCTCATATTGCCTTGGAAACACCATATAAGTTATGTAACATTAAAAAAAAGTGCTAATGACAATATAACATTGAAATTATTTTCACAATTTCAGAAGATGTTTATATCACTTAATTTGATTCTCCTTTAATCTTTCTAAAATCCTATGTCCAATTTTATAGGTGAGGAAATTAAGGCTGATATCTAAGATTACATGTAATCCGGTAGTAGAAGATTTGGAACAGGAACCCAGTTTCCCTAAGTTCAGACTCTAGCTTCCTCCTTGACTAATAAATGTGTTTGTTTTCTCTTTCTCTATTTAGTATATAAATAACTGTAGCATAGAAAATGTACAAAATTTATATGCCTAAAATAAATAAATACTATTTTCATTCAGAGTTTGAATTAAGTAATCCTTATATATTCTTCTCTCTAGAATTTGATTTTGTTTGGGTTATTCACTTACACATTTATTGAAGGTTTTTATAATGGTCCCCACAATATTATCATGGCTAATGTTTGTTATTAACTAAATATCTTATATCTGCCTTCAATATTATAAAATAAAACTTCCCAGTCCCTAATCTCCCATTCATGAACTTCTGCCTGGTTTCACATGCCTCATTAATAAGAATAAAACTCATGGTTTGTAGTCCATCTATGTTTCAGTAAGATGCTTGATTATCTCATTTTTCAACTTCTACCAACTTGTTTTTCATGCCCTTTCTTCTGGGGGAACCCTATAATTAATTTTATTGCTTCTGCCCTTTATAAATTTGTTAGAGAAAAATAATAATTTTGCCTCTGAACCTCACTGAAGCTTCAGGAAACCATGAGTTGTATGTGACAATCCTTTTTCTGATCTATCCCATACTTTAAAATGACTATTCAAAATATAAGACATCTCTCTAATTACCTCAATCAGCATCTCTTCCCTCCTACATTTCTAATCATCCATTATTTTTCATGTGTTAGTGAGACTGATATGCTGCTTTCCTTCTACATTTCATCCTTCTTTCTTTGCTCCCTATTGCATTGATGATTTTTCATAATTTTACTCAATTTATATTATTTTGCTGTTTTTATCTCTTCTTCGCCACTAATATCTTTCTCTGCCCTAAAAACTTGCTCATCTCCTATTTGAACACTTTCGTTAATCATGGTATGCCATGGAGATTCTGGATGTCTAAGTTAATAGCCTGGTTAGGAACTTGTTTTCACATCATATTCACCACCTTTATCCATTTTCAACCTGATTTTGATGTCACAAACTGCGCCTCCAAAGGTTACTAGTGACTAATGTCTTTTTTATCAATCTCTATTTAGAAAAACCTCTCCTGCCATATGTGTTACTGTTAACTAGCCTTTTCTCTTTAGAAGTCACTTCTCTTAGCTTCCTTTATTCCCATTTCTCCCAAGTTTCCAATTAGTTTGACATCAACTCCCCACTATTGCTTTCTTTAATGCAGATGATGCCTAAAACCATTCATGATTGAGTACACACACTGTGGTAATCAAAGGAGATTGGACATCTAGACAGACACCCACCCCTGGGGGTAGAGGAGGTGCAGTGGAGCTGGGTGACCATCTGAGACATTAGAGGCCTCACCAAGGCAGAGAAAAGATACTGAGATCATCATAAGTCTATCTGTGTAAAACTATAAAACAGCCAAACTCCAAAATCCCAGAGAAAAATTTGGAATATCCACTGTTGCTCTCTGTTCTATTCTCACACTGAAATATTTATGTAGGAAGTGAAATGTTTGGTTTTATTCAGCAAGGAGACTTTGATCTGCAAAGAATTCTAAAAAGCACATAGGCTTTCACTGTCTGTGAAAAAGAAAATCTCATTAGAAGATGGACTAACATAAAGGAGAATACAGTATCCATTTCATGTTTATGGCTTTGGAGGAAAAAGCCATCAAGTTAAAGCTGCTTTTGTGCTGCACACTCATATGTTGACAGCCAAGTCTGAAGAATTTACACTGTGGGAAAAACAGCCATTGTCCACAGCTCTGTGCTTCATCTCTTCAAATGTGCAGTTCATTTGAGAGTTTAGTTATCAGTCTCTCAGCACTAAACGTGAGAACTGATTTTACCAAATAAGCACAAAGGTTACATTTGACAGGGTGCAGAAACCAGAACTGGTGCAAGATGGAGGATGTAGACACATCTGAGATAGAACCAAGGGACTGTGGGAATCACAAGCCTCAGAGAATTAAATACCATTCCAGAACACAATTAGAAACATAATGTTTGCACATTCATGCATAAAATAAATGAGTTTTGAGGCATAAGCATAGACTACACAATCATTTGTGCTGCCACAAGTAATAAATTACCTTGCAAGGTACTTTATGAAAGGTCTTCAGGGCTATTAAAATTAATTTGGGCAAAGGACTTACTTTTCTCAAATTAATTTAAACTATTTAATTTGGAAGGATTAGTTGGCCTATTTTAATGGCTTTTAATTTTTGTGTCTTCTAAATAATAAAAAAAACCAGCTGTCTTGAAATATTAGGAGTTTAATGGAATTTCACTGTTTTCATAATTAATTACTAAAATGTACATTTTTATAGTAGTATCGATAAAAGTTTAAATTTAGTTTTATTTTAAAGGAAATATTAAGAATGCATAACAGTTTTAGACTAAGAAGCAATAGCTGCTTTTTATTTTATTTTGTTTTTAAGATTTTTACTAAAAAACATAGCTAGCATACAACATTGTATCAGTTTCAGGGGTACACCATAGTTTTCAACATTTATAGACCTAAAGAAATGATCATCATAAGTCCAGCAATCACCTGACACTGTACCACACTATCACAATATTATTGACTATATTCCCTATGCTGTACATTACCTCCCCATGACTTATTTGTTTTATACCTGGAAATTTGAATTTATTGCCCTTTACATTTTTCCCTCTTTTAAAAATTTTTCAATTACAGTTGACATTCAATATTATTTTATATTAATTTCAGGTATACAGCATAGTGGTTACATATTTGTATAATTTAAGTAGTGATTCCCCTGACTAGTCTAGGATTCATCTGGCACTATACATAGTTATTACCATATTATTGACTATATTCCTTATGCTATACCCTACATCCCCATGACTACTTTGTAACAACCAATTTGTACTTCTTAATCCCTTCCCTTTTTCACCCACCCCTTCAACCACCACCCCTTATGGCAACCATCAAAATGATCTCCATATCTAGTATTTTTTTTTCTGTTTTGTTTGTTTATTTTGTTTTTTAGATTCACATATAAGTGAAATCACATTGCATCTGTCTTTCTCTGTCTAACATACTCCACTCAGCACAATACCCTCTAGGTCCATCCATGCCACTGCAGATGGAAAGAGCCCATTCCCTTCCATAGCCAAGCAAAATTCCATTGTATATATGTATCACCTTCTCTTTATCCATTCATCCATCAGTGGACACCTAGGCTGCCTTCACCTGTTGGCCATTGTAAACAATGCTGCAATGTACACATGGAAGCACACATCCCCTCAAAGTAGCATTTTGGGTTTTTTTGAATACTCAGAAGTGGGATTACTGGGTTATTCTTTGCCTTGTTTTTAAAGTCTACTTTGTTTGAAATAAGTGTTGCTACTTCTGCTTGTTTGTTTTGTTTTGTTTCCATTTTCATGCAATATCGTTTTTCATCCTTAACTTTCAGTCTGTGTGTACCTTTTGATCTGAAGTGAATCTCTTGTAGGTAGCATATGTAGCAGTCTTTTTTATTTCATTCAGTGACCCTAACTTCTGATTAGAGCATTTAATCCATTCACATTTAAAGTAAACGTTGATAGATATGTAGTTATTGCCATTTTATTATTCTTTTTTTTTTTCATCTTAAAAAGTCCCTCTAGGATTCCTTGTAATTCTGGTTTGATCGTAATAAACTCCTTTAGATTTTTCTTTTCTAGGAAGCCCTTTATCCTTTGATTCTAAATGATAGCCTTTCTGGGATGAGTAATCTTGGTTGTCGGTCCTTCCTTTTCATCAATTTAAATATTTCTTGCCAGTTCCTTCTGACCTATAAAGTTTCTGTTGAGAAATCAGCTGACAGTCTTATGGAAGCGCCTCTTTAGGTAACTAACTGCTTTTCTCTTGCAGCTTTTAAAATTCCTTTTTTGTCTTTATCCGTTAGCATTTTACCTATGATGTTTCTTCCTTTTTTTTTTTTTTCTTCTTTCTTTTTTTTTTTTAAGCTGAGCCATCCTGCCACCTGTTAGCAGCTCAGCAGCTCAGCTTGGGCCAGGAATTGAACTGCTGTTGCTCAGAGCTCGAACTCTTCAGCGAGCTCTTAACCAACTGAGCCACTCGGCTGGCCCACCTATGATGTTTCTTGATGTGGGCCTGTTTGGGTTCATCTTGTTTGGGACTCTGCACTTCCTTGCCGTTATGTCTATTTCCTTCATCAGGTTAGGAAAGTTTTCTGTCATTATGTCTTCAAATACATTTTCAATTCCTTGCTCTCTCTCTCTCTCCTTCTCATGCTCCTATCATGTGAATGTTGTTATGCTTGATGTTTTCCCAGAGGTATCTTATACTATCCTCAATTTTTTTAAATTCTTGTTTCCATTTGCTGTTCCAATTGGGTGTTTTCTGCTACCTTGTCTTCCA